CTTGGCATAAATGAATAATAGGTTTGACAATATCCGTTGCACCGAAGGCTGACGGAAATAGACATGCTCCGGAAATCTAAATTGAAAGTTCAGCAGAAATTTGCGCAGAGTCGCCAGAGAAAGGGTAAAAGAAAAATAGTAAAGATTGAAATATCAGCGTTTGTTCACCAAGTTATCTGTTAAATACATTGGTATACTGAACGAAAGGTGACCTACGTCCGTTCTACGTCTTGCTCTATTGTTTTTCGCAGTTCGATGTTACTAAACCATTGATTCCACGGACTCTAAGAAATCATTGTTGTTAATCCTATTCACCAGAAAACCATATTGATTCGATCAATTATCTCACTTAAGGTTGCAATTAAGTCTTTCGACGATAAGCAGTCGCGAAATCAGTTGATAAGACAAATTCATCAAAGACAACAAACCGTTTCATCTAACGCTAATGGATGATTTCCTCCGTCTTTTTTTCCATCTTTCTGTTTTTGACTTTGATTGGGATCAATTATATAACGATCTTTCAGTTCATCATACTTGGCCCTAAGAGAGGACAAGGCCTCCATCCAATTTGACGAAGGATTTGAAGGCACAGAGGAAGAAACCGAGGGCGAAGAATTTGATTCATATTGAAGCGGATACGGAAGGATAGAGAGGTAAATCTAATATTTTATAAAATAATATCGATATCGTCGAAGATTGGTATAAATTTAAAGGAACCAAGAGTTTCAAGAACGTCGCCGTGAGGGCAATAAAACCGAAATTAGGAAGAAAATGTGAGTCAATAAGAGGTCAGAACTAACGCTACAATCGTACTCTTTCGTATATCAGCATCATTGCATTTTAGGACCATGAATTGAAATGAAATAAACCATTGGAGCAGAAACCAGCATCCGTAGACTGATCTATCTTGCCAGGAATGGAAAACTTTATCTTGACTACTGCCCCTATGATCACTATTACAACTTTACTTTCTGATTTGTGCCCAAATGTAAAACTCACCATCCAAAATACGGCTCTCCATTCTTCTGCGATTAAACCCGACACCCCGAGATTGCAGAGTTCGATGATTGGAGTTTTCGTGAAGATTATCTTTGGGTGTACTTCGGCCGGCTTGTCCGAGAAAGTTGCAGGTGATATCGAAGCAGATGCCGTGTGCAGTTGGTCCGACGGACGAACACTCATTTTTATGCTATTGTATCTTGTATTTGCAATATGATGCGATGTCACTAGCAGATGAATTTTGGAGCAAAGCACGAAAAGTCGCGCCATCATCTGAAATTTGGTTATTATTATTTCTTTTATCATTACAAATATCATTAATAATACAATACAACACATGCCAAGGGTATATTTATACAATGTATATGTATATTATATTACAATACATCAGTTATGCTTAAACCTCCATTCGTTCCTCGACCGTCGTCTTCAGCCGATTCTTCGTCTGATATATCCCCTCCGATATCATCGCAATGACCGTCTTTCTGCCACTTCAACTGACCCAATTCATCCACATCCAATATCCGAAAAGTAATTCTAACTTTCGCTCCTATTCCTTTGACTTCTACTAACCGTGCTACGCCAATGTCCACTAATCCCCGTACGATGCGAACACAAATTGACTGGTAGATCGGCTTCAATTTGTTGATTTTCTCCTTCTCCTTCTTCTTCTTACGCTCCAGCTCTTCATCTGTCTCCGACAGACCTGCACTTGGAGAGAACTTAAATTCTTCACCCATAACGCCCCTGTTCTCTAAATCTTTGCACAATGAAGCCACCTGTTTACTGCCGGATCTCAACCAATTTATCACCTTTGTCAACATGAAGCTCATTTCCGGATGATAAACGTTCGTCAACTCTTCGTACAACTCAAATAGACTCACTTTGCGTCGGATCTCGTTCCATGGTATCGGTAATTCAGGAATCGGGCGCAACGGTAAATTCGCCTCAATCAGTTCACTTTGCTTTCGCATTTCCTCTTCCTCCTCTCTATCTGAATCGGCAGTGGAACACTTGCTAGAGCCACTGAATGAAGGATAAACAATAATTTTCCCTGCAGCACCAATGCTACCACCCACTGTCACCATTCCAATCATTCTCTGTAAAGCCATTCTCTCCATGATCAACAGGACTACTTCGTCTGCATATTCTTCGATGTTAAATAAACGGGTCGGTTTTTTGCTTGTCTTTCCTTTGCTTTCTTCTGTATTGTCTTCGTTAATCTGTGACCCGACAGCAGATTGAGACTCGTCTGCCTCAAGACCATCCCAATTCTTCCACTTCTTCCGAACATCCCATAAAGCTTTGACATTCGTCAATATTTGATTTCTGATGCTATTTACGGAATAGGTAACATTCACGGAAAAGGACTTCAATAATGACATGTGTACGTCTTTCAAATCAATAGTGTCCAGGAGAGCAGCGGGTGATGGCGGTGGCGAGAGAGGGAGTTCTGTGGGGACCGAAGGCTTGTGTTCCTGAAGTTGGTCGGAACAAATATCTGTAGTTGAAGCAGACGGCACAGTAGTATTCGAATTTTCGCCCTCTTTATCCGTCCACAATTGTTTCCATGCTTCAAGCTCTTGCTCACTATGCTTCCCCCACTCAATTTCCTCTTCCTCTTCGCCACATAACGCTCTTTCCAAGTCATGACTCCCGTGTCCGGACGGTATGATTTCATCATTCGATGTATCCTCTACGTCAAGGTCACTATAGTTTTTGATACTTCCAGCAGTAGCTTCTGACGGCCAGAGCGATTCTTCTTCGCTTTCACATCCCTCCACATTTTCTAAGCCGAACACATCTTTCTCCTCCTCCTTCACGAATTTAGCATCTTCAGATTGTGTTTCATTGTCAATCGTCGCTGACTCATCGCCACCATTCTTCAAATATTCGCCGACCAAATTACCCCATACCCTTTCAATACGTTTAGTATCAGCCTTCAGTTTCTTGCTTTCAACCGTTAGTTCGCGGTGATTGGGGTATAAACGTAATCCGTTCTCTAGTGCCTGAAAGGCGGAGGAAGCATCGCTTAGACTAGAAAACGCCATTGAAAGCCGGTAAAATAATTTTGGGGGAGGTAAAACGTCTAAAGTGGCGTACAATTTCAAGAGCTAATCGAGATTTTGAAATAGATCAAGGAGTTAATAAGATTGATATTAAACTTGACTGTTGGAGAGTACGCCCCACAAGAGAGCTGAGTTATCGCATAGAAACTCTGAAGGAATTACTTACTCTTTCGTACTCCTTAACAACATTATTATACTCTTTTAACTTTAAGAAGCACATTCCACGATTCAATAAAATTGTCGCTGAATATTCTTGGACCTGTCGCAGCAGAGCCCCAGCGACATTCACATCATCTATTGTTTGAATCGTTTCCTCCTTATTTGGGAGCTCAAAAAGGATGGATGTAAGCGTGAAATGAATCTGATTTCAACAAAAACGAATAGTCACAAGCTACATATTAGTCCATCTTTTCCCATTTGAACACAATACATTCTGAATAAAAGCTATACCATATCATAATCCACCAATGCAGCTTCGTAATCACCACTTGTGAATTTTTCGTTTGCTCGATCCTTTCGTCGCTTCATCCTTTCAAACCTTGAATTGCAACATTCGCCGGACTATATAGAATTGTCAGCTTTTGTCAGCACCTAGGAAGCCTCGGAGAGGGGCCCGATGAAGGCAGCAACAGAACAATACCAACATATTTGGATACTTCCAGTAACGTGATTTCACATACCGATCGAACGGCCTCTTCACTGGAGTGATCGAATGCAGAAGTGGCCTTCGGTAATTCTACTGTCGTATCTGGTTTTACGTGATTGAACACACAACCTAGAAGTTAGCTTAGGCACCCCAAAATCAAGGCTCAATTTTCCGGAATGGATGAACAAGGATAATAGCTACCAAACGACTGATCGTATTCTACTGAACATGTTTCCCCCACATTCATACTAGGGATAACATATTTAAGTATTCTCGGGATAGCTAAGGATTCTGTTTTTACAGGGCCATGACCCGTCGACAAATTGGTCAGACGATATTCACTTGAACGAAATTTGCAAGTCTAAGTGCATACCATCACCATAAGAGTACGTCAGAAATTGCCGATTTGAGTAGTTTAAAAGAAGGCTATCAGAATCCGATAAACGACTCGTGAGATGCACTATACAAACAATAAGCGACTACATCAGTTTTCTCGGACATTGCGGTTAAATTGGCTCATTTTGACTTTAATCGTCCGCTCTTACAAATAGCAGACAATGATTTGCATGTATATATGGAGAAACAAAGAATAAACGAATAAGTACAATACACGATCGATCCATCATGAAGTCTGTTCTGGCTGCTGTCTGGACGGCGTTCACCATGGACGATGATTCTCTTTCTGATTTTAGAATCATTTAATGTAATACTGTCGTCTTCTGATCCAGTAATTCGCATCTTTTCAATATCCATAGCGAGTTCTCAGTGTGATTGACATTCAGCCGAATTTCACAATGATCGGCAACATGTTCTTCAGCGTAATCAACGCGAGTAAACAAAAAAGCATCACTTCAATTCTGTGATACAACATTGGCAAAACTGGAGAGTCCTTTCGACCGGGAAAAGCCTCACTCTGGTTGCAATATCAGAATAATTTTAAGTGTAAACGTCATTCTACCTCAAATGCAGACTATTTCCCTGATCTAGGGCTGAATTCCAAATTTGTACATTCCACTATGGATTGATCTTAGGAGCAGTGGTCGTATTTTCGTTCACTGTATCACAAACATTTCAATAATCAAAGTCTAGTGGAGACTATTGTAGCTTCTCGAACTCACATACTGTAGTGAAATGCGCACTCGTCACTTTTCTTTTGTCCATACCAACGTTACTGAGCAGAACTTTAAAACCCCAGAATAAGTAACTATTTGCTTTGAGTTTATAAAGGAACTGAAATCAACAAAAGAAAAGTGGTACCGACGCAAACTTTTGAAAAAATTGCAAAATCCAACCAGCCGGAATCGAACCAGCGACATGATGATGTCATGTGACATTGTTCCACTACAGTCATCCGCTCTACCAACTGAGCTATGGTTGGTTGATAACGGTAGGCGGCATTTAACACATATATAGCAGGAGTATGATGCACGAAAGAAGTTCAGAAAAAGAGAAAGCGAGACGAGGGAATAGGCTAAGAGCATGTTGTCAAATTTCACCTATCGTAGGCTATGCTTTTCAAAGTCACGATACAAATCAGAATTGGCATGAGAGATGAAATTTGTGGCAGAATACTGACTTTTGATCTTGTCATTATATGTAACTCACTATAATATATAATTTATTGATACAATCCTCGAATCGCACTCATAATTAGCGAATCTTATAACTCAGGCGATAGTGAGAACAATAATGATGAGCTGAAGAGTAACAACAGATAAATTTACTTAGCATGTTGAGAATGCCGGTGTAAGGAATGTAAGGAGTCAAGTGCATCAAGTAAACCTCGTTAAGGAAAGTTTAAAACGGTTGAAACTTAATTATCTGCGTCCACGTAACAGTATTTGGGTGAAAACGAGGCGGAATATTGCGTGCTTCCTCGTGAATTCGGAAAAGGATACTGATTGGTGTACATGTAGGGGTTTGTGGAAGGAGAGAAGGACGGGGTAATAATTGGAATCTGCTGAAGGTTAGTGGTATTATAGTATGATATGCGGTTTGAACGCTGATAAGGCGGTTGAGGTTGAATACTTGAGTGTCGGGGTACTGGGATCGGGACAGGTAAGGAAGGAGTCGGAGTTTGTGCCGGAATCTGTAACTTCTGCGGTGCTGAAGACGCAGCGGTTGAACTTCCTTGATGAAAATGAGAATTGGGAGTGGGTATCTGTATCGGTGTTGTATTCGAATTTGAACGGTCAGAAGTCATTTTTGGGGGATTCTCATCCAGAGTCACAGACTGTCGTAGTGGCGAAGAATGAACTGGCGTCACGGACGATGAGCCAAACTGGGATATTCGGCGGAGAGATCGTGGTGAGGGCGGTGAAGTCGTCGAAAGAGGGGATTCAGTTGGTGCGGATGCAGATATCGGGGGTTGGGTACTACTTGGAGGATGCGTTGTTGATTGATTGTAATGTCTCGATTTTGATTCGTTCATCTCCATAGTAAGTGCAGACTTCGGCCGATTGTCGTTGTCTAGAACCTCATGGTTATCGTTTTCCAAACGTCGAGATTGTTGAGAGTAACCACCGCTGGCACTATTTTTACAACTGACTCGCCACCACCTCACTTTTTCGCTTAATTCCCTTGCTTCCACTAAGCTGGGATGCATAAAGAACTCCTCAAACGATATCCTTTCAATAGGATTTTGCTTCAACAATCGTTTCATAAGATTAACCAGACCGGAATCGACATATTTTTTGCAGACTTGTCCATCGTCTGGCGTACTCTGGACTTCAACTGGTTCTCCCTCTTCAGGAACGGCACCTTTAGGAAAGCGAATTTTGTCTTTCCCTTTGGATATCTTCTTCACCAGCTCTACGTGATTACTAGCCCGATACGGAACCTTTCCAAATAACGACTCAAATAGCACCGTTCCGACACTCCATAAATCCGCTTTGGAATCGTACTTTTCGTATCGCAATATTTCGGGAGCCATGTACAATGGTGAACCACAAAGCGTTTCAGCCAAGGAAGTTGGTGTCGACAAATATCGGGCGAACCCAAAATCGGCGAGTTTCAGAATAGGAAGGTGATGAAGAACCTGGAGGATTGCCGGTTGAGGAAGGAATGAAGAAGTATCATGGCGGGAATGAATGGAAGATTGTAGAATAGTAGAGGAAGAAGGTTGCGAGAATGAATAAAGAGTAACAGGAGGTTCGGGCGGTGGCGTAAACGGCGGCGGATGTAGGAGCAGATTTTGCGGTTTCAAGTCTCGATGTATCAAGTTATGTGATCGTAAGAATTCAAGTGCAGACGCTAAAACAAAACTGTCAGTATTGTTATTACAATAAAATATGACAATTCAAAGGCTGCATCTGCCAGAAGAACTGTTTTTTGATAAATGGATGAGACGAGATACCTAATTGCCCCAAAAAGTACTTCACAACTACTTCATCCAAGCCACCCCAAATTCCAGCGATATTTAAATCCTCGAGATCTAGTTTTCCTCCGCCATCGACCGTTTCAATCATACTTTGTATATCAAACCCCTTTGCCACTCTCCTTTTCACGGTATCGGGAGTATCTGCTGTTGTTCCGTCCTTTGCAGCGGACAACCCCCGCAAGCCTTTCAGTTTGATAAATCCACTTAAATCACCCCATGCACACCATTCCATCACTAGGTATACTGTCTTTTCTGTTTTTTCCCAGGCAAGCAGGTTAACGACATTGTCATGGGATAGAGTCGACATTTTCTGGAGAATTTGAATCTCTGACTGCAAATTTTGCAACAGTTTTTTGTTCAATTTCGATAAATTGATAGCTTTCACGGCCACTGTCCCCTGTGGTGGATTCTATTACCGGAAAGAAGCGGTAAGAAATGACAGGATGTCAATTTGTCAGTACGAACGCCCTGTATATCCATTTTGGCAGATGGCAAAAGGGTTATTGTTACCTTTGAAACCCCCTTATAGACGACAGCAAAGGAGCCTTTTCCAATTTCTTCCTGGACGATATAATCCTGCATTGCAATGGGTTCTTGGGATGCTGCCATAACTGCAACTATAATTCACTTTGGACGGAGAGCACAAGAACGAGGTAATTTGCAGCTAGAATGCCATATACTGGGTATGAAGATACCGGCAATGCAGTAGACAGCAGTGGGATAACAGTATATTTAATGCAAAGGGTATGTCTAATATAAGAGCGATGCAGAGAGGAATGAGGTGCGGCCTCTGCTCTGGGCAAGGGAACGAGCGAATCCCATTGTTCGGCCCGGCTCCATTTTAAGCTCAATCTGGCACGACATTGCCTCATTCAGAGAATGATATCAAACGCAGCTGGATTACAGACATTCCGCATTCCTGTGCCTCTGTATTGCCCGTTGAAATAATTCTTTAATAATACATCTAAATGATGCCCATCCCTTTCGCCCTCCAGTGGTGAAATCTTGACGGTATCTTATCGCACCAGGGAAAAGTCACGCAATTTAGTTGACGACCGAGTGACTTCCAATCACATGACGCAATCTTGTGACATATTTGAACCGAATTTGCAATCAATCTCCAATATTGGCAAAGCTTAGAAATCAAATGTATATTTAATTCTTGGCCTTTAACAACGGTTAAATGACATAAAGATCTCAAAATCGGCTGAGTTGCACTGTTCATGTGAATTGATATTGTATCTATAATTACACTGCCAGCCCTTGGCTCCATTTCACTAAATCCTCTATCTCACCGTCATGACCACAAATAATATTATCTAAATCTATCCCATCTGACCATCCTGTCAAATCAACTTCGCGGGAGCCGATATAGGCATCATTACTAGTGCTTCGCTTTTGTTCATTTATTTCGTTTTCCTTTTTGGAAGCTGAAAAAATCTGGATTTAGTTTCAACGTTCTTCTCATCCGTTATTGACTGACTGCCTAGAGATTGATTTCCTGGAGACACCGCATCACTAGATCTCAACAATTGGCTTGCTGTGAATTCATCAAGACTCGATTGAGTTTCAATTAATTTCTCCTCCGTCATCAATAGATTGCGCATAGATTCACCTTCGCGTTTAATAAGCTCGCGAGCTTCACTGGCGATAACGTCATGATTCGCTTCATTCCGCGTTCGAGCTCGAACTTTTTCCTCATTTGTAAATAACTTGTCGCCTCTGCTGCATTTCATCGTACCCGCATTGTTTGAACCTTTTGATGGCCGAGATTGCCGTTTCTTTTGGGTGCGCTTGTAGTCCATTGCAGTTTCAACGTACGGGTAGACTCCAATTGGCGGATAGAACGACGATTTTTGGGCCTCGACAGTCAGCTCGGAGTCTCCTGACGGATCTTCATTCAAGGGCTGAGGTGATGCTGTCAGACATCCTGTGACAATTAAACGGAAGCAAATTTGATCAATAAATATCATGTTTCCATGTTCAGTCAAAAACTTACCACTCTTGGTCAGATTTTGGACGCGGGACTCAAAACAGGTTCTTTCGACCTGTTGAATTAAGCTCTTCACAATCTTCTCCCTCTCCCTTCCCATTTTCTTCTCCTTACTTCCATTCTGTAATTTAAATACACATTTTCCAGAATCAGGTACAGTTGTTGCCAGACTCTGCCAAGTCTCAAAGTAGGTCTCGTAATTCACTCTTTGAACTTTCGGTTTTGGTTCCTTCGATGATGACGGAGGTGCATGCTGATCTGCTGGTTGTGATGTCTGAAACCGGTGATTCGGCGGTGTGAGAGATTTTGTCAAAGGAAGACCCACTATAAAATCAATAATATTAGAAATAGTGAATATTGCAATATTATCAGAAACAAGACAAATAGGCTTGGAGGAACCGTCAATTATCAACGATGCATACCGCTAACCATCCGACTATTCACCATGCAATCTCTCACGATTTGTTCAAATAATCGCGGTTTACTTATATAACATTCGGCGGCATTTTCATTCATCACCGCATTTTTGCAGTCATCGTTATCATCTACGATTGGTTCCACTAAAATCTGTTGAATCATAATCAATAGCGAAGACACCGATAGAGAGCGATCCCAACGCGAAGGATGTAACAATGGATGATGTAGGAGACCTGTTTGTGTAGAAACTGATGCAATCATATCTTAAAACACAGATAATACAAGCAAATAATGCGGAGCATGAAATGGAGAGACTTACTATTAGGATGGAACGGAATTGTCAAGAAGACGACCCTTGGTGGAACTTCATCAAACCCTTCATCAAAGGATAACTCTATCTTCAATATACCGCCTGCGCTTCGATTGTTCACAATTCAATTCATTGCCCCCATTACACCCATTATGGTCAAAAAAAATATTCAATCCAAAAAGTACAAATTGAAGATGGTTACGTTAACTCACTTCGTACACAAGGACGTCAAAAGTAGTCAATCAATATCAGATTAGACAAACCTTCCCAATACGATCC